GCTCTAACGAAGTCTCCAACTTTGGAGAATTTGGTCAGTCTTTGTGAGGACGCTGCTCTCATTATCGAGCCAGAATCGTGGTCTTCGATATCCAAAGAAAGCGTCAAAGAAGTAAGAAATGAGCCCAATATCACTGAGGAAGTATCTTCGAACGCAGTAAGGTCCTCTCCGCTGGAGGTTCCCAGCTCCAGAACGACGAGCGACACTGTTCCTTTAGCGATTGCTTGTGCTCTAAAGAAAGGCATAGCATACTTCGGAGTGACTCGGGAAGTCAATCTTCTGAGTAGGAACATCTTTCTTGCCCTGAAAGAGGTCTTAAGAGTCCTGAAACAGGGAAAGGTCCGTGTCTTTGCACCTTTGTCTACGCTTTGCAGCTCAGGCTGCCCCTTGAGGTACCTACGTTTTCGCAAGCGACGAGGTCTGGAACTTTGTCGGAAGACGATAAAGACCCACAAGAGTTACTGGAGACTGATAGGGAAGCTTTTCGGCCCCTATACCTCGAACGAGGGTTTGCTGTTAACCCACGAATGGCCTGGGAGGTCCTCTTTGTGGAAGGAAACGGTATTTCTAGAAGTCTCTAAAGGCCTTGGTCTGACGCAAGGATGTCTAGTAGATAGGTGCTGCTTCGAGAAGAGAGAGAAGACTTGGAAGAGATGGTGGTTCGCTGCTAGTAGTGCTGCCTGCGGTTGGAAACTGTCTTCGTACGTTTGCGCAGGAAACCACGAACACTCGAAGAGTGCGTCTCTGAAGGACTCTGGGACCTACCCGGAAGAGCTTGGAAAGGCTCTTGTCAGGATTGGAAAGAAGATCCTGAAGCAGGAGGAAAGACAGGACTGACAGGAACTACCCCAGGACCATCTGTGCATGAGGGGGTGTGAAAAATTCACCTGGCTCAAGTTGTGGCTCAAAACGCTGCACGCAGTGCCGTCGTGGCCAGCCTTGGGGCCTACTTTCCTAGAGGTCTTTACCGGGCCCAAACCGCAACCTTAAAGGTCGTAGGCTGGCTGTCCAGCAAGGGTTGGGCGGGGTAGCGGTCTCTTCCAGTGGAGGCTCAGGGCCGACACTGAAGCGCGTAGTTGAGCCATTGCATTTCCCTTGAACACTTGAACAATCTTGTTTGCACAGTCCGCTTGATTTTCTTGAAAAAGGGAACTTTTTGTTTTGAGGGCCTTGCTTGCAAAAACGCCCTTAGTTTTGTTGCCATACTTTTCTTGCAGTACAGTTTTCTTGAAGAGCGGCAGGCAGTCGCACCCGAGCAGAGAAGGCAGGCATGACTCGTGCCTATTTTGTTTGCAAGAAGTGTGGGCCGAGCAGCTGGATCTTTCAGGATCGTGTCGGGGCGAATCCGTTTTGCCAGAAGTGTGGTTGCCAGTGGCCGAAGCCGAAGCCACAGCAGCCCAATGCAATTGCAGGTGCTGACTGGGCGAACCGTGACCAGGCCCGTGTGTGGAAGAACAAGGGCCCCAAGGCCACAAAGGACCGTGCAGGCAACGCTCCTGTGGGGGCCGCGCAGAGGGCTCTGGTGACTGTGTGGGACTCTCTCCCTGGGCCGGCGCAGCAGGCCATCGAGTTGGCTGGCTGGCAGCCGCGACCTCCAGCTTCCCCGCCGGGGCTGGGAGGAAAGGGCAATCAGTCGAAGCAGGAAGGCGTGAGGCCATCGAAAGGGGGCTCGGGCAAGGGACATGGTGCCAGTGGCGGTGCTGAAGCTGAGGCTGTGCGTGTAGAAACAGCAAAGGCATTGTTTGCTTCTGCGAGTGATGAACAGCGGGCGCTTCTCATTCAGCTGGGCATCAAGGCCCCTGAGGAGCCGCAGCCTGATTTGACTGCATTGTGCAAACAGCACATGAGTTCCCTGCCTGCTGACATCCGCAAGCTTGTTGAGGATCCCCCTGAAAAGCCTCCAACAGCACAGGAACTGATGAGTGAAAAGAGCAAACAGTTTAAGGTTGCAACAACTGAGCTGCGAGAGCTTATCTTCAAGAAGTCTTCTTTGCAGTTGCGCTTGGATAAGCATAAGGAGCTTTTCACCAGCATGCTTGCAGACATGAAAGTCATTAATGAAACCTTGGAGGCACGGCAGAAGTTGGTGTCTTCCTTGCAGCTCGAGCTTCAGTCGTCTGTTGCTGCTGTTCCTACTCCCGAGGCCTTGCCCGAGGCAACAGAGTCTCTTGCCAAGCAGGTTGAGGCTATGGATGTAGACCAGCTTGATGACTACAAGCAGAGGGTGATTGATGCGCTGGAGGAGGCTGTGAAGCGCAGGCGTACTGAGGCGCCGGCAGCGAAGCCATTGCCAGCCCAAGAGGCTCCCGCAGGGCCGGGACAGGCTGGTGAGGCCATGCCTGCAGGTGAAGGCAAGGACCGGTCTCGCAGTCGGGGTCGTGCCCAGCAGGGTTAGGGATCGGGGATAGGGGTTGTAGGCCGTCTTGCGTCGGTGGGGAGTGCTGTGTTTGCAGATCCAAGCTGTGACAAACCTGTGCATTTCCTTTCCATTTCTAGCCTGCCTTCAGCCCTTAAATCCCGGCTCCAGCTGTGCAATGAGCTAGACAATCACGCGGAGGAACCCGTTGCTTTGTCTGGCGATGTACTGGACAGTGATCAGCCGCCTGCGTCAATCCATCTTGATGCGTTCGGGCCCTACACTCAGTATGCCGAGCCGTATGTCATTTCGGACAAGTCCGTTTCGCTCGGCAGCTTGAGGCAAGAGAGTGGTCAGCATTGGGCGCAGTCTATTGAATTTGCTAGCTTTGAGAACTCCGTTGCGTGCCCGATACCGCGTTGTGAGCTTTGTGCATCCCCGTTGGCTGTCGCAAGAAATGTGAGCCCCCGGGGGGTGCATGCCGTTGGGTATGACTTGTGCACCTTTTGTATTGGCCAGGCCGTGACAGCCACAAGCTGTGCGGCCAGCTATCACGCCGAATCCTCTGGAGTGCAAGGGAGGCCGGAGCCTTTCGTTGTTGGTATCATTCCTGGCCCTTACCCATGTGCTTCCCTCAATGCGGAGGGCCCGAACCTCAATTCGAACCTCATTTTGGAGTCAAGCGGGCTGGACCTCCGCCAGCCTCGGTTTTCGGCTGGAGTTTGTTCACAGGACCTCCCAGGGCCCGAGCTGTGCGCATGTGGAAGTGGCAAGGTCCTAGGTGCCCTTCATGTGCCAGAGGTTCAGGCTTTTGTGAGAGCATGCGGCAACGTCGCAGAAAACAACCCAGGTACGGAGGTTCGTTTGGCGGTGCATCAGTTGAACAACTTCTGCCAGTGGTGCATCCTTGCCTGGCATGCCGGGGCCAGCAAAGCTAAAGGTGGGGCGCTTCCGTTGGGACGTCCCTGTCCTGACCTGTCGGGGCCGAGGTTTTTTGGTTCTGAGTTCCTTTCTTCTGATTTTGGGGGGCCTCGGCTGGGATCTCAGGTTGATGTTGAAGCCCCAGCTGTCCCAACGTCTGCCGTAATCGCCCAGAGGCCATTCAACCAAGGGTCGGCCCCAATGTCGCTTTCGCAGCCGCCCCAGTCCAGGCGAGCGCGGAGAAGATGGCACAGGCGCCGCAGGTTGGCCGAGGGAGCCCCCAGCACCCAGGAGGAGGACGAGGCTTTTGCCATGAAGTGGAGTTTGTGTGAGGAGTTGGTGGGGTCGCTGGCCCGGGGTCCTGGGGGACCAGGTGCAGGCACGAAAGCACCGGCGTGCTCAGCCGATGGTGCACAGGTGCATAAGTTGGCAGAAGTACAACCCGATGTGCGCCCTGCAGGCTGCGCTCGGAAAATGGCCCAACAAACTGCGCTTTTAAACGTCAAACAGGCTGTCCTATCACAGGATGAGGGTGCCCTGCTTGATGCGGTGGAGGTGATGGAGCAACAAGGTCTCATGCAGGAGGGCACTTTCGTTTGGAGGGCCGCTGAGCTCGCCATTGAAACTCAGGCGGGGGATGTGCCTAGGAGTGTGGCTTGTTGGGCTATTGACGATGCCCTTTCCAATCTGTCGACACCAAAATTGAGAGCAGACCTGCATGTGATTAGTGCCAACATAACTTCTTGGAGGAAGGACCTGTGCCCATGGATTGCTCAACATAAGGCGTCCATCTTGTTGCTACAGGAAACACATCTTTCGCCTGAACAGCCTGATCTTATCGATGCCCAGCTCGGGTTTCATGGCTATGGTGTTTTCAGCATCCCGGGCCATCCCACAGGCAAGGGAGGTACCTCAGGGGGATTGGCCATTTGTTTCCGCAAACACTTGAACCTGAGGTGTGTCCATCATTTTGTCAAGGCCGGTGCTGGGTATCAAGTTGCAGCCCTCAGGTTGAAGGATGCCGATTGTTACTTTGTGAATGTTTACTTGAAGGCTGGTGAGGGTTTTCAGGGCAGCCTCAATGCGCAAATCCTGGCCAGCTTGATTCCATTCCTTCGCTCGGTCCGGGGCCTCTACACTCTGACAAACAAACATGGCCCACCCGAGATGGTCGCCCGCCGAAAGGGCCATGTTAGTGTGCAAAACCGAAAGCTATGTTAGTCGCTCTCCCGGGATGGCAGATGTTGCTCGTGATGTTTTGGGACATCATTTGATGCTAGCGGATGCCATGTTAAATGAGAACCACACATGTGAGGGAAATCCTGATATGTGCCATGTTAGTGTCTTTCTGGCATCCGTGTTTGCCGGCCGACCCTCAGAACATGCCACCAGCTGTCATGTTTGGTCAAAACATGCAATCCACATGATTTTTCGATACGTGCCATGTTAGTGGATCGCATGTGCGCAACCACATCGTCAGTCAAAAATGCTTCGCAAACAGGAAGTGCACGCAGCGCCTCCAACAGTTCCTCATGTGCCATGTTAGTGTAACGTGTGGCACGGTTTCCAAACTGGTGGTGCTGGATTCCTACTCGAAGGCCCGAAACCCTGCACCCTACACCTTAAACCCTACACCCTTCTGTAAACCCAACTGTAGTAAGCCCTACTGTAAACCCTACTGTAAACCCTACTGTAACCGAAGTGCTGGGATTGGTTTGGCGCCATGTCGTCGAGAAAGAAGATCTCCATGAAGAGCCCGCCGAAGCTGGTGGGCAAGGGGCTGGCCGAGCTGCCGGACAAGCAGCTGTACATTTGTGGCCTCTTGGCTCATGTTGTGGTTGTTTCTTCTAGAGTGCTAACATGGCATCCGCATTCGTGTGTTCCACTATTTTAGTCCCGACAATCCTTTAACATGGCACCCGTGACATGGTTTCGCGCATGCTCAGAGGGAGGGATGCCACAGAGAGGCTCTGAGAGAGTCAGGCTGGTTCTCCAGGGCATAGACAGGTTTTCATCGGTTTGCCCATGTTTGCCCACTACTTCCGGCAGGTCTAGGAAAGATTCTGTGTCCCGTAGACTGCCATGGATAGGGATGCACTTTGGCAGTGGTGGTCAGCCGTGGTGCGTGAAAACGGATGGTGGGAGCCTGGATCACCGCCACCGAGATCGGAGTTCAATGAGAGCCCACCCTTTCGTATCCCGACCACACCGTCCGCAAGCCCTCCTGGCTCATCGGCTTCTTCGCCCGTGACTCCTTCCACCACTTGTCCGCATACTCTGGATGGTTCTCTCTCCCCAATCTCTGTGCCGAATTCCCCACGTGCCCTGTCAGTTCAGACAACCCCGCCGCGAAGGAGGCTGAAACGAGTGGCATCCAGCCAATCTGGTGTGTCGGAGCTGCAGACCCCCCTGAAGGTCCTGAAGGTCCTGAAGGTGGCGGGGAGCGACGAAGCAAAGGAGGAGAAGGAGCAGGACAAGACACCAGTGGCCACAGACAACGAGGACCAGACAGCAGTGGCGACGCAGGTTACCTCTGGCAAGATGTGCCCAGCACCTGAGGGCAGCAGCAGGGAAGCAAAGGAGGAGAAGGAGGACAAGACACCAGTGGCCACTGACAACGACAAGCCAGCGGTGGCGACAAGGGTTAGCGGGGCATCAGAGGCTGCAAAGTCGCCTGGGTCGCATGGGCCGTGATTTTGGCGCTCATGGAGAAAAGAGACACGAGGACTGTGCAGCGCAGGGGCCATGTTAGTGAAACTTAGTTTGTAAAGGACTCCAACACGATGACACATTGCACAGTTCGCTGCTGAGGCTGGCCAACCTCTCGGCAACGACCAACCGAGTGGCCACCCGTGCGACAGACGCTGGAGGAGGCCACAAAGTGGCTGAGCAAGGCGGCTGGCGGGTTTGGTGTTGCAGTTCTGTTGCAGGGCCCTTTTTCGTGTTTGCTGAGGCACCAATCATTTTGATTATCAGTGAAAAGTCTTGTGTGCGTTTTCTCAGTACAGTACTGCTCTCGCACAATCTAACATAGCACCTGCAACCATGAACCATTTGTGAGGCTATCACAGCGGCAACATCATGGGCAGCACGACACGCGCCGGTCTTGCTCAACAGCGGCAAGGAGCTGCTGATGAGCACCCACTTTTCGGGGCTACTCGGCACCTGCAGCAACCAGCAGGATCACTAGTTTTTGAGATCTTTTGCTGTAGTCCGGATTCAGGGTTTGGTTACAGTACGGTTACAGTAGGGGTGATGGGGTGTAGGGTCTTGAGGGGGATCTACAGTAGGGTTTACAGTATGGTGATGGGGCCTTTGCGCCACCGTGCCGGACCATGCTTGGCAGTCAGAAGCAAAACTCTTTCTCTTTTGCTCTCTATGTGGCTCACAGCACCGCACGCAACGTCCCCGTGCAGGACTTGTGATAGCTGGGGCTGCAGGAGAATGCGGCGGGCAAGAATACGACAAATAGTGACAAAAAAAACACCCACACCCTACTCCTACACCCTTACAGTAACCGTTACAGTAAACTCTACTGTAGTCCCTGACAGTAACGCTTAATATGTGAAGCTCCTCGAGCCCGTGTTGTGAATGGACTCCGAAGCCATGGCAGAGGAGGAGAAGACGGGTGTGGGCCCCCAGGCCCCCCAGGACAACTCGAACACTGGGACCCAGGAGCGGTCGGAGATCGATGCGGAGGACGGACTGGAGGATGCGCAGGAGCCACGACGCGCACTGCCGGCTGCGTCCTTCATTGGAAAGCTTCGGCAGACTCTTCAGCGGGCCAACCAAGCGCTGACCAACGTTGGATCCACGCCAGATCCGTTGCCGAACCACATCCCTATCAGCGACATGGTCTCCTTGTTGGACGAGAAGGCCAGAAGGGCGAAACCAGCTCCGAGGTTCTATGTTAGCTATTGTGTGTATCATATGGACAAATATGTTCTTTACACGTGCCACGTTAATTCACATTCCATGCAGCTATTGTGTGTATCATATGGACAACTATGTTGTTACACGTGCCATGTTAATTGACATTCCCCTGCAGCTGACCACGCTCGTCCAGCTGACCACGCCACCGCCGAGGCCGCCTCCGCCCAAAGTGATCTCGACAGGGCCTCTCGGACCCCTCATGCGGCGACCACTGGAGGAGAGAATGGTGCCGGACCAGGGGGAGGGACGACGACGCACACTGCCGGCTGCGTCCTTCAAAGGAACGCTTCGGCAGACTCTTCAGCGGGCCAACCAAGTGCTGACCAACATTGGCGGCCAGGCCGTGCCACTGCTGGGCGATGCCTGCATTAGTGACCTGGTCTACACGGTGGACAAGAGGGCCAGCAGGGTGAATCAACACGGTACAGTCATTGGTTCAGAAGTTCTATTAGCTATGCGTTTGTGTTCACGCAGAAACACATGTCGTTTGCACATGCCATGTTGATTCAACACCCCCTGAAGCTGAGCAGCATCGTCCAGCTGACCGGACCGCCGCCGCCACCGCCCAAAGTGCGCGCTGCTGCAGGGCCGCACAGTGCACCAGCAACCTGGCCTGCGACTCGCCCAAAAAAAGAGCCCTTTTTTTTTGTGACAGTACGCGAATTCTTGTACCTTTGACGGGTGCAGTACAGTGACGCATTGCCTTATTACTGTAATGAGGATCCAGCCTTCACGAGGGGGCCGCTGGCGGCCGCATCCACGTATCGGCCCTGGGTTGCCTATGAGAGCCACAGGCCGCCTGACAGCTACAGTAAACCTCAAACACCCAACCGTGGGGCCCTAAGCCCTAAACCCTACAGGAAGCCCTAACTCAGAACTACCCAATTCGCTATAGTAGTTCAACGGACCCTCCAGAAGGGGGCCGCCGGCCGCGTCTACGTTTCGGTCCTGGGATGCCTATGAGAGGCACAGGCCACCTGGCAGGCAGCAGTGCAGTAGATCCCAAAACCCCACAATCCCAAAACCGCACAACCCCACAACCCCGACCCCCCAAACCCGAAACCCTACAGTAACCTTTAACCCTTGGCAGGTCGGGGCCGAGACCATATTGATCGAAGTGGGTGGCGTTGGCATGGACACTTGTGGGCTGCCGATCACAGGCATCGGCACCTGGTGGACCGAAATGGGCGGCCTTGGTTTGGATATGTCATGCTGAGCCTGCCCTGAGAGCAGATCAGACTTTTTTGAGTGCTATCGCTTGATAATTTGCATGTGCCATGTTAGTGATCGGGCCTAAAAGCGACACGGTTTCCCCTTTCCAAGAAGTCGTTGTACACTGCCGAGGTCGGACGCAGGCGTTGCGCTTCAGTAATTACAGTACCCGTGTTTCCAGTCTCATTATCATAAAGTGATGAAGTATGTGCTATGTTAGCGACATAGTACAGTATTAGCCTTGCATCCGATGATGTGGGTGGCCGCGCGAAAAAGGATCAGCCGTTGTTTCAAGGAGCACGGGAAAAGGGCTGGTTACACTACAACACAGCAGTAGGAATACAGTACTCCGGACAACCCTGCAGTGAGGCTCGATGCATCGGCGAGGGCTGCGAAGCTTCTGGAAGTCGGTGGCTGTGGCGTCACCTTCAAGCACCTTTCCGTGTGCGACGTGGCGCCGAATGTGCAGAAAGGTCTGCTTCGGGACAGCTTCTTCGGCAAGTGCTGTGTCTTCACAAACGAGCCTGGTGCGGCATAAGATTACAGTACTGCACGAGTTCATATGTGTCACACACGCAGACACACGACTACAGGAACTAGGCAACAACTGAACTGCACTCATTGCCGAGGTGATGGATCAGGTGGACCCCCGGTCCCGCAAACAGTTGGAGTCTGCGGAGGGTGTGGATGCCATCAAGTCAATCATGCAGACGGCAACTTTCGAGAACAAAGCTCGCTGTCTTCGTCACGGAGAGGCTGGTTGCGATTTCCAGACAGCCATGGATCTTGCGCCTTCGATTTGTTTTGAAGTGACATATGTCATGTTAATTGGCTAGTGGATGGCACGATGAGCACGGTGTTCGAAGGTGGTGTCTTGTTTGCTGGGTCGGGGCTTTACTGTAGGGTTTGAGGAGCCTTTTATTTTGTTTTTGGGAGGGTGTCCAAGGATATGTCAGGGCCTTCGTGCAAGGACGACTCAAAACAGGGGCCTCAGCTCATGGACGATGGGCCAGGCCGCAAATCTCTGCTGACATACCTGGAAGGCCAAATGCAGCGGTCCACAAAAGCGATCTCGGCTAGTTTGAGACTACAGGGAACGAGTAAGGTAATGTGTTGTAGAGTTTCTTGTGCAGTACAGCACTCCACTACTGAGGTGATCATTGTGGAAAACGTCGTGAGTGGAACGATTCAACGGTTGACCGCCGAGTACGTCACCAGGTCCGGCCTTTATTGGGCCAAAACAATCCACGGAGATACTTGGGAGTCTGGATATGGCGCGTGCAGGAGACAGCGCGGTTGGCTGCCTGGTTGTACAATACATGCTGGCATCCGTCCAGTACAAAGGTTTAGGGTTTAGGCTTCAGGGTTTAGGGTTTAGGGTTTACATTAGGGTTTTTAGGATTTAGGGTTTAGGGTTTAGGGTTTTAGGGTTTGAGGGTGAAGGGTTGGGGGGTTGGGGAAGCTCCTACTGTACCTGGCTCGGGGGAAGGGTTGGGGAGCTCTGTTGGGGGCTCGTTTAGGGTTTCCCCGCCAAACCCGCTACAGTACATAGCTACATAAAAGTCAGCTTGCAGGTGCCATGTTTGTGTTCCGTCAGGATGATTTTCCTCCACAAAAGCATTGGGGAGTTCATGGACGAGCCACAAGACTGCTACGACCACATGTCCCGTGAGATCAGCTCTGCCCAAGTCCACATCCCAGACCTCTTCTGGCTGACGGATAAGGGGCTCCTGACAGAGGAGCTGCGTAACCGTGCGACAAAGAATCGTACCTTCAGCGAAACCTGGGAGCTATTCGGCCGACGCAGCAATCCCAATGTTGTTTTCTTTGAGACTGTAACATCTCTTAAACACACGTGCCATGTTAGTTTGCACTGTTGGTGGGAGCTTTTCTGTCCATCAGGGAGATGTTGACACCGGCAGAACGCTCGAATTTGCAGGCTGCCTGGGAGAAGCTTGACAAGACTGGTCTTGAGAAGGAACTTCATTGTGCCGTGCCTGGACAGACCCCGAAGTACATGAAGATCACTTGCGGGAACAGGTGCCTGCCAACATTTACGACAGCCGACTTCATTTTCAAAAGGGACATCGCTCGATGGATGACAGGGCACGAGAAACTAGCGGCTCTCGGCTTCCCCGTGGGCGAAGCTATCGCGGCTGCGTATGGGACGGTGACTGGGTAACTGTGCAGTACAAGGTGTATTCGTTTGCACGTTTACGAGTGTTTTTTTAGTGAGAAAAAAAGACATGTGCCATGTTAACAGCCAAGCAAAGGAACCGATGTCCTTGGACTGCTGGAAAGGATTGCATGAACTGGGAGGGAATACGCAACATCTACCACAGAGTGCGACTGGGTTATATCTCTCGCATGCCATGTTAGTCTATGTAATAGTAGGTGTCCTGTTGTCAACATACAGATTTTGAGGCGATGGTGTTGTTATCCGCGCTGGCTTGCATCCGATTCCGTCCTGATGATGGGCCACCACTTTACAAATGTCCTGAGGACAGAATTCTCATCGAGACGCAGCCGAATGGACTTTGCTTTTGGACATGCCTTTTCCTCGGTGCCGTGGCGTCATCGTCCCAACTGTTGGGTTTCTACAACACGCCACGATTGCCAAACGGCATGCCCAGTGGCGACGCTGCAGAGAAAGAGACTGACGACATCAGAGAATGGGCCTTGTCACTGGACAACCCGCCAGGGAGGATGCCACGGCAATGCAGGCGACGCATTATCAAAGGCGAGAGCGCTGTCATACCCGACATTGAGCCTTGCCGTTTCAGCAAGATACCTCTCTCTCTTTGTGTGCAATGTAGTCGCATTTTCAGTACTTGCTGCTGCCATGTTGATTGTTCGCAACACTGTTGCAGGAGTGGGCGGCTGAGACCTTCGACGTCACGTTGATGTTCTTCACTGGCAAGCGCCCGCCTCTGCCTGGCGATGTTCCTGCATGGCGTGTGCCTGCAGTTCCCAAACCTCAACAGGACGAAGACAGGCCGACGCTTTGGATGTGGAGCCACACTGTGAAAGATGGTGCAGGGCACGAGGCAGCGCACTTCTCGCTCCTTTCTCGGGACACTCATGGCTGCGCACAGTGTTTGGTGGTGTTGTGTGGTTTACTGTGGGGCTTAGGGTCGAAGGTTGAAAGAACTTCTGGCTTTGGGGCTTCGGGTTTTCGCGATTTTCGAGGTTTTGGGTTTGGGGGGGGGGAGGGGGCGGGGGGGCTACAGTAAACCTTAAACTTGCCAACTGAGCCCGGCAGACCAAATCTCGCCAGCCAACCCCCAATTTGGTGGCAACCGCACTTGAACACATTTCTCGTGCCATGTTAATGTAATGTCGCAGGAGATGGGGTTCCTGCTGCACAGAGAGCCTTTCATGGGGCTCCCTCGAAGCCGACCTTTCTCTGCTGGTCCCGAAGCCAACTCACAGGCAGCGTCCAAACCATCGGTCAAGAAAGAGCTTCCGGATCCGGAAGCGAAGCCTCTGAAACTGCCGGAACAACAGACGAACATGGCTGGGAGCCTTCTTGACCAGCTGAAGGCTGCATCGGTGGTTCGCGACGAAGCCAGGAAGCACTTCGTCGTGCAGGGCCCGAACGCGAAGCTTTACGTCAAGGATGAGGACAGACGTGGTCAAAAAGCATCATGTTGCAAAGGTTGTTTGTGTTCAAGTCTCTTTAAGTAATACGTACTAAAAGCTCGCATATTTTCCATCACTGCATGTGCCATGTTAGTCTACACGCGAGAGGATTTCCAAGACAATCCAGAGCTTGCGGCGAACGTGGCCCTGTCAGTGGAGAACTTTCATCAGATGACCCTGGCAGAGTTCGGGCTCAAATCCATGGCCGACTTGAGGACGATTGCGAAAGACCATGACCTTCCGGCAGGGCGACGGAAAGATGACTTGGTCAAGAAGCTGGTTCAACACCTTTGCTTCTTGCCCAGTTTGTTGCACCAACTCGTGCCACTGGTTGACTTTCCACTACACTGTGTACTGTGTTTGGGTTCCAATAGGCACACACGTGGCTTTCACTTTGCAGATCCTTCCATGTTACAGTTTGCTTTGTTAAAAAAAATCAATCCAAGGTGCAGGAAAACTCGCAGGTTATTTTTCGAAAGGCCCCGCGGTGCCAGACGACACCGAGCCCGCCAGCAAAAAGCAGCGACTCGCAACACAGCAAGGGTTCAAGGACCTGACACAAGCAAACATCAATGCACTGTTCGCAGGCAAGAAGATGCAGCCGGGCCCCAAACAACCAGCGAAGCCAGCACCATCGATGCGTGATTTCACACAACACAACATCGACAAGATGTTTGGGGCTGCACTGGCACCAGCACAGGCCTCTGGTGCACCGATGATCAGTGTCCCTGCGCAAGCCCCAGCAGAGCAGCCAGCTGCACAGGGAACCATGTCCGAGAATCACACCCTCGCGCAGGAGACCCCAGTGGCCCCGAGCAGTGCTAACATGGCACCTGAAGCACTTACAATCAACACAACGATGCCGAACATTCCTACCGAGCCCAGTGTTCCTGAGCAAGCCCCAGCAGACCAGCCAGCACAGGGATCCGTGTCCGAAAATCCCACCCTCGTGCAGGAAACCCCCGTGGCCCCGAGCAGTGCTAACATGGCACCTGAAGCCCTTCCAGCCGCAGCAACCATGCCTACGGCCCAGACCCTGCCAGAAACCCGGAAAGCAGCCGAGATCCCAAGTGCCCCTGAGCGAGCCCCAGCAGCGGAGCAGCCAGCACAGAGACCCGAAAATCCCACCCTGGCCGCCCTGAGCAGTGCTAACATGGCACCTGAAGCCATTCCAAACAACGCAACCGCCCGGACCCTGCCAGAGGCCCAGAAAGCAGCCGAGATCCCAAGTCCCCGTGAGCAGCCAGCACAGGGAACCGTGGCCACTCTCACGCAGGAGTGTCCAGTGGACCCAAGCAGTGCTGACATGGCACCCGAAGCCCTCCCAACTGCAGCAACCATGCCAGGCAGTCCGACGGCCCAGAATTTGCCAGAAACCCAGAAAGCAACCGAGATCCCAAGTGCCCCTGAGCAAGCCCCAGCAGCGGAGCAGCCAGCACAGAGACCCGAAAATCCCACCCTGGTGGCCCCCAGTGCTAACATGACACCTGAAGCCATTCCATCCACTCTCGTGCAGGAGTGTCCAGTGGACCCGAGCAGTGCTGACATGGCACCCGAAGCCCTCCCAACTGCAGCAACCATGCCAGGCAGTCCAACGGCCCAGACCCTGCCAGAAACCCAGAAAGCAGCCGAGATCCCAAGTGCCCCTGAGCAAGCCCCAGCAGCGAAGCAGCCAGCACAGAGACCGGAAAATCCCACCCTGGTGGCCCCGAGCAGTGCTAACATGGCACCCGAAGCCATTCCAAACAACGCAACCGCCCGGACCCTGCCAGAGGCCCACGTGTCCACTCTCATGCAGGAGTGTCCGAGCAGTGCTAACATGGCACCTGAAGCCCTTCCAGCCGCAGCAACCGTGCCTACGGCCCAGACCCTGCCAGAAACCCAGAAAGCAACCGAGATCCCAAGTGCCCCTGAGCAAGCCCCAGCAGCGAAGCAGCCAGCACAGAGACCCGAAAATCCCACCCTGGCGGCCCCGAGCAGTGCAGGTGCCATTCCAAACAACGCAACCGTCTGGACTCTGCCAGAGGCCCACGTGTCCACTCTCGTGCAGGAGTGTCCAGTGGACCCGAGCAGTGCTAACATGGCACCCGAAACCCTCCCAACTGCAGCAACCATGCCAGGCAGTCCCACGGCCCAGACGATGCCAGAAACCCAGAAAGCAACCGAGATCCCAAGTGCCCTTGAGCAAGCCCGGCAGCCAGCACAGAGACCCGAAAATCCCAACCTGGTGGCCTCGAGCAGTGCTAACATGGCACCCGAAGCCATTCCAGACAACGCAACGCTGACCACCCGGACCCTGCCAGATGCCCAGAAAGCAACCGAGATCCCAAGTGCCCATGAGCAACCAGCCTTGGGAACCCTGTCCGAAAATCTCACCCTCGTGCAGGAGTCCCCAGTGCCCGAAGCCCCCCCAGACACAGCCCTTCCACATGCAGCAATGATGCCAGGCAGCCCTATCACCAGGAGAGCAGAGGAGACAACCGCGATCCCCAATCCAAGTACGCCTGACAGCTTGTTTGAAAGGGGACCTTGGACCCCAGAACACAACCCAGACCAGCAGTCCGAGACACATGTCAAGATTGAACATGACAGCCCCCAGCCGCTTTCTCCTTCTCCTTTTGACATCGAGGACATTGCAAAGGAACCAGCGCTTGGCAAGACTAATGCTAACGTGGCATGTGAAGTCCTATCTGCAGCCGCGGCACCCGCAGCACCGATCCAGGACATGTGCCCCTCTGACACTGCTCAGCCGCAGCAAGACAAGCCCAAATCAAAGGCAGCAGTGAAGTTCGCAGCTAAGAATGCAGCCAAAAAAGCAGCAAAAGCAAAAGCGAAGGCAAAAGAAAAGGGAACAGTGACGCCGAAGGCAAGCAGTCAGAAATTGGCCAAGGACGGGGCTGGTTCCGGGACTTATGGGGCAAATTTGCCGCCCGCAGAATCTTCAGGGGCTGCCAGCAGCAGTGACAAGCCACCGGAAGCTCCTACGGACGAAGGTTCCATCGTCGCCTATTCTGTTGGAAGCACGTTTGGCAAGACAGCTGTGGCTCGGAGTCAGAAACACAAGTTTGAGAGCTGCGAGTTGGCACTGCAGAGCATAGTGCTGAAGAAGTTCCGCATGGCGTTGGAACCAGGCTTCGCAAAGGAGTACTTGGCATTCTGTGGCTTGGGCATCGTGAAGCAGTACAAGATCGATCGCAAGAACTTGAAAGGCTTAATCATGGGAAAGTTTTCGGACCACCAACGAATGTGGAAGCATGCCGAACAGCGACTACACGGTGGGGTTGGGATGATTATTCTTTGTGAGAATCATGAGCTGAGCATTGCAGAGGTCTCTTGGTGTACTTGTGTGTGTTTTTCTTTCTGAATTTGTTGTGATGTGTTTTTTTTGTTTGCAGCAGGTGCCATGTTAGCTCTGAGGTACTGGAGTCACAACCCTTGTCAACCTCCCCAGCAGAGGACATTATTATTTGCACAGTGCCAGAAGGTGGCCCCCTCGGCACAGAGGACGATGAGTTCTCGAATGTGAAGTTCACCGTGGTGTCAGTGGCCACAGGCGAGCCTTGTGGAAAGACCATCAATGTCGAATTCTTTTCGGATGGCAAGCTTGGAGCCCTTTCTGGTGGCTTGTTGCGCATGGAAGACTTCAGGAAGGCAAAGTCGCGGGAGGATGTGAGCCAGATGCCCCTGGCGGCCGTGGACATGCAAATTGCAGAGCTGGACAAGCCACTTGTCTACAGTACAAAGCCAACTCGTGCAAGTAATTTGTGAGTGTGTGTGCCATGTTAGTGAATTTTGACATGTGTGTGTGTTTTACCCTGGCCGTCAGGGCAGACTTGGACCCGCCACCGACTCAGACCAAAGGGATGAAGCGAGCACGCGACCAAATTGAGTTGGAGAACCTCCAGGTGGTGGAAGCAACTTTATCTAGGCAGGACCATTTGGTCGCTGTGGCTCAACAGTGGAGAAACCTGCTGGAACTCATGGCTGTGCCTGACAGTGACAGCCATGGCATGCGAAAGCCAGCGGAGACGGCGTGGCGTGAATGGTTCGAACATGTGTTGCAGGCCTCCTTGCTTGACCCACCAGGGTGGACAGATAGGAAGCCAGCCATGCCGTATGTGGAGATGCTCGCAGCAGTGTCCTTGCTATACACGAGGGCAAACGAAGCGGCAGGCAGGGCCAAGACTGCACATGCGAGGGCTCAGCAACGCTCGGATCGCAGCCAAAAGTACCACCAACGGAAAGAAGAAACGGCTCGAGAACGCTTTCGTCAGCGACTGGATGAGAAAGAGACCATGGAAATTGAAGAGTCGGCCAAGCCGCTCGTTTGCACCTGGTCCACCTGGTCGGTTATTTGTGTTCATCATGTGCCATGTTAGCTGAACACATACGGGCGCGTATGTGTGTGCGTATGAGTGGTGCGTCGAGTCCCCCAGTCAGGCAACGCCGTCGTCAGCTCTACCACGCCAAAGCAAAGGTGAAGCCTGTTGCTGAGAACGAACAAAACAAGAGGAGGGCTTCAGCAAAACCAAGGGCCACCAAGGATAACGGGCAATTCCGCAAGCAGCTCCGGCCGCCCAGGACGTTGCAGACGATCGAGGCCAAGCTGAAGGTGCTGGACTACTATGAGGGCTTGCTCAAAGAGAAGCGGAAGGCTGCACAAGTACTTTGTGCCCCAAAGCAAAGTGCTCGAACACGCGAGTCCAAAGCGTCACTCGCAGAACAAAGGAAGCAAGCGAAGGACGTGAAAGCTCGGAACCTGCAGCGACTCTGCGAGGAAAAATTCCCCCTGACGGTCAAGAAGTCCATGGTCTGCAGGTGGCTCAAAGCTTCCAAACGGGAGGCCTGGCGTGACTTGCCTTCGCTGCTCAGGAGCCGGATGTGTGCAACCACGAATGCCTGGCGTGTTCGTTTGGGCCTTCAAGCCAAGGGCCGCACCAAGGGTGGCGCCTACCCGTGCGACCTACAAAGGGAGCTGGACTGGCTCGTGTACGAGCACGCCAACGGACTTTCATCTGTATCAGCACGGCACGAGGTGGTGACAATCGAACACGTTGCGTTTTGACAAATTTCAGATGCCATGTTAGTGCAATTGATCATGTTCGGGAGTAATTGAACATTTTGTAACAACATGTGCCATGTTAATCTCCCAGCCAAGGTCGAGACGATGACCGGTTTGGTCAACGACTGGAATGCTGGTCTGGACGTGGCCACGCAGGCAGTGATGGATCACAACGAGGGCGTGTCCCAGCAAGCGCACGCTGGAACGATGTCTGCGGAGCAGGCAACGAGGGATGCACAGGTTCCTTTTTGTTTTTCGCAACTGTATAGTATACTCAGTATACCGTCAAAAGGGCTGCCGTAAGTATGCTACTGTGATGCAATGTGTCCTGGAACGATTGCTCGAGAAGAGGCCCTCACCATGGTCCTACCGAAGCCTCGCCCTTTGAAGCCGCCGTCGAGACAATGGGCTTCCTGGTTCTTGCGGCAGTATGGGTGGTCGCTCCTGAGTCGCGGGAACGACACCCAGCTTTCTCTTCCATACTGCCACGAGGATATGAGGCGAGCTCGAGAAGCCTACCGTGCCTTGGTCGACGACAAGGGCGTGCATGGTGCGCTGGTGTTGAACTTCGACCAGCTTTGGAGAACTGCGTGGGGCTCGAACTCGAAACTTCTGTTCAAGACTGGCTGTCCGGGGGAGCCATCGCAGAAGTCGAAGGCTGGAGCACGGACATCGAAAAAAATCGACGCCGTGAAGCACCAGCGCCGAGGGATGACGGCAGTCACCACGTCGTGGAGCGATGGGACCGCCGGTCCCATCGCGTTCTGCGTCCCTGAAGGACGCATCTCGGCCGAGGAGATGGCGAAGTTCAACAAGGAGCACAGGGGGCGATCGTACGTGCTGTCGTCCGGCAGCAAAACTCACTTCCTCACCGCGGACACCCTCTTGATCCTCTACGAACAGCTCTTTTCCCCAGCCTTGATGCTGCAGCGACAGAGGCACGTTTTTTTTGGGGGCACAACTGCCATGTTAGCATTACTGTCGGGTACAGGGGGCTGCAGCAACAGTAAGCATTTGGAATTGGCTGGCCTGATTTCGGAACTCGCTCAGGGTTTAGGGTTTCGGGTTTCGGGTTTCGGGTTTCGGGTTTAAAGTTTAGGGATACCTCCAATCTTTTCAAGGTGCATGTAGGCTTCATTGAAAGTATCTCAGTTTTAAGTAGAGTTATAAGCTCAGTTATAAGTAGTTACCACAGTAAGTCCCATGAACCTCCAAGTAGGGTGTTCTCCTCTCAGGCCTTTGAACTGGTTGGGCTGCAGTAGACCGTTCAAGTATGGTTTCAAATGCCACGTTAGCCTGTTCGCAGGCATGGCGTGGGCAAAGAGGATGGCAAAGCCGCGTTCCTCTGCGATGCCTGGTCTGGTACTTTCGCAAACAGCAGGGGCGAGGACTTGCGAAGGCCTGGGCTCCCGTCATTTTTTTTAAATTTACAATACGGAAATTCTGTACTCCTCTAAGAAGCATGCTTTCGGAAGGACCACCTTCTACCAGGAGCACAACATCGTCCCCCCTCGTCTTCAACCTGGCGGCTGGAGTTCTCACGGACAGCCAGTTGATCAGATGCACGCGTCTTACCGGAAGAACATCCGGAGGCTCGACGTGTGTGCCATCGGCATGAACCCAGATCTCCGGTCCCGGCCCCGCATCTCGATGTGACAAAGACATACTGTACTTGTTTTCCGGTTTCGCTACACTACCAAATGATGCAATCTTGGAAGGCATGTGCCATGATAAACTATAGTCCCTTGGCAACCTCAGGATTTGAGGACTTGACTCTGAGGGCATCAGGGCAAGTTGCGCAGGACGCGCGCCCCATGATCGAGATCGCCAAAATCAGTCTCGAGGCATGGAAGCAACTTGATAGGGCGGTGTTCCAAGCTGCCTGGGTCATCTGTGGCTACACCACAGTGGAAGAGCTGTCGGTGTACGATGGTCAGCTTGCAGCTGTGGGCATGGATGCTGAGGTGGCACAGCAGACGCTGTCCGACTTGTTTTCAAAGTATGGCAAGCATTTCACACCGCAGCTCTGCACAGCAATGGAGTGGCAAGTGAAGGCAACCGTTGCGGATGGGGGGAAGGGGAAGGGGGGGGGGGGGGGGGCGTGAGGACTGTCGGGTTTGTTGTATTGTATGCCGTTTTACTTTTTGTAGTGCCATGTGCTATGTTGATGTGTTGTTAATACAAACAGGTCGGTGATGTTTGGACGCCACTACCCTACGAGTTTGCTGGCGCGGTGGTGAGGACAATGGTTTTGCATGTGCGCAAGCTGCAGGCCGCCAGGGAGGAGTACCAGAACCTGAGGGAGCGTGACCCGGCCGAAGCCCTCGAGAAGACGGTGCAAGCAAAACGAGAAGTTGCAAAGCTCGAGGATGGAAAACGGTACATTGTGATGAATCGACGGACTGGCCAAATCGCCACGGTCGACTGGTTGACCAAGCATGTGAAGGTGTCCGAAGGCCGCCCTGAACCCAAAGATGCCAGGACCAAGATTTGGATCATGACCCTGGTGTTTCGTCTGCTTGCCGGGGAGCGCGTGTCGCTCGCCCTGTCGATGTCCAATGGCGAGCCTCCACTGCCTGTAAGATGCTGGCGCCTGGATGGGGTGGAACGAGACCAGCTGCCGGAGCTCGTGGGAGGTTACCAGCATGTGTTGGAGGAAGATGAGCCGTTTCAGCACGAGGATGGGCCCATGTAGTAAACAATGGTTTTACAATACTCGAAGTGCATACTGTACTACCCGTGTGACTGTTTGTCCCACGCAGTGCGCCAGTGATTTTCCAGGACGAAGACAGTGAAAGCAACCATGATGGGGCAGATGACGGGGAGCAAAGTTCGGACACGGAGGCGGGTTCCGAGCGAGGTCTGGAAGGCGGGCCGTTCTCTTGTTTTGTGCATCCTGGGTGCCATGTTAGTGAGTCAGGTCTCGAAAATGGGCTGTAACCGCATTTTTTTTAACCGGAGGTGCCATGTTAGCAATCGTCAAATTGTCTTGTGTTGTTTGTCCGTTTTTCTTTTAACGTCGTGCGTGTTGCTTCTGCTGTAATGGTGAGGGTTCCAGCTGCCTTCTGCAGGCGTCGCCGAGGCGACGGAAGCAGCTCAGCGTCCTGACCAAGGGGCCCGCCATCGCAAGCGGGCTGCGGCAAGCAGTGAAGACGAGGACCCGGATGAGACGGACCAGGGCCGGGAGAACCCTGCAGCCTTCGAGGACATGATTGTTGCAGGTGGTGACCCCGTGGAATCGAACCGATCGCGGAACTGGGCGCCTCCGAGCTTCTTTGAGCGAGACGTCTACAAGGCGTTGTCGCAGGAGGGCCTGACGGTGCTCCCGCCGCAGCCTGGCTGCGGCCTGCGGTACCACAAGCAGAACAAGCAGTGGCACGCGATTTCAGCCTCGGGCACGCAATTCTGCAAGACCTGGGGGCTCGAGAGATCAGAACGTTTTGCTCTACTTTCTGCTTTGGTGATGTTGTGGTCAGAGCGTGTGGAGCTTCATCCTGCTGACAAACATGCAGCCGAGCACTTGGTGGTCTTGAAAACCAAGCTCGAGGAGCTCGATTTCTAGGAGTGATGAACAACAAAAAGGCGCAACTCACGGCGACTGTTCTGGTTGTGCTGCAATATTTTTTTAGTTGGTAGGTGCCATGTTAGTGATGTGCATACATACTATATCTGTACATGTACACAAACATCAGCGCCTTTGCTGTACACACACACACACACACAGAGACCTTTACATGTACGTGTACCTACATTGTAAGTGTGTAACGCGGGGGAAGCAAACAGTGCCGTGCTGTTGGGCGTGTCACCGATCTGGGACAAACCAGCAGACCTGGGAATGAGGGCTTCTTTGCAAAAAAAAGAGTGGTACAGTACTGTAGGTGCTGTGCCACAGCAGTGATGGAAGCTGGGTCTGAGGGTGACGTGTGTGGCAAGTTGTGCTGCAGGTGCCATGTTAAAAGCGTTCTGGCACCTGTAAGTCAGCAAAAGGCCGGAGATTGTAAATATGATGCCTGTGGTGTCGAGCTCAGGGGGTTTTTAATCCACGAGCCTCAAGGGACACGGTTTTCCCCCTCAGTGTACAGACCAAGCTCGGACACAGGCCTCTCAGTGGCTGCACACATCGCTGTAGTGCACAGTAGTGTCTCAACTGCTATGTTAGCGACATGATATGTGTTGGGCCGGTGTGTGCGGACACGCGCAGCCACAATGACATGTGTGCCATTTTAACCACCCTTAACATGGCACATACCAAATTCAGCCCGAGCAATGGTGTGGCTTTGCAACAACACGTTAACGTGGCACATACTGGATTTGTGCTCTGGCAACCGGGATTTCCCAGAGACCAACGCTCAGTCGGAAAACAAGTCTGAGCAGTTATAAGGTGTCTCGGCTGCCATGTTGAGGCTTTTTGACTACCTGGAGACATGATTTCCGGATTTGTGGAATGGATTGTACATGCTATGTTAGACTCAAACCATATGTGTTTTGATGCCCGGACTGCCATGTTAGTTGAACGCATTTCTGGATGCGCGTGCTATGTTTGTTGGTGTGAGAGTATTTCTTGGCCGGGGATTTCAACGAAGATTTTGATGTCATTGCTGCAACCAGTCTTGAGCAGGAGGCTAAGGGCAGGTGGATCAGTTCAGGTGAGTCCACATGTGCCGGGGGTGGCAACATTGACTATGGCTTGCTGGCGCCGGTCTTGGCGGCCGGAGCCTCCTTGTCTGTGGATTGGATCACCCCTTTCGCTCCCCATGCGGCCCTGCATTGGTCGCTTCAGCTGCAGCACTTTGATGTTAAGCTTCCCCAGCTTGCGCCCGTCAGGCCAGCCCAGGTGCAACCCCGGCCGTTCGAGCTCCGCTTGGCCATTGATGAGCAGGGTGAGCAAGCTGCGCAGGCCCACACGGAGAGGGCTGTTCACCTTCTTGGGGTGGATGTCGCGAATCCGGGTTTAAGTGCTCTGTTTGCCAGCCTCAGTTGCGACGTTGAGCTTTCCGTTTACAGTGCCAGCCAAGGCCGGGGTTCTCAGGTTAGGTGCCAAAGGAAGCCGTTGCTTGTTCAGAGGGCCCCGCTTGCTGGGTGGGGTGGTGCGCAGGCTTCATTTTGGAATCGTATGGTGGTCTGGTTGGAGGCTTGTTCTCGGTCTTTCCATGTCAGCCCCTTCGCCCAACGGGCCGTGCAGAAGCTGAAAGCCATGTGGCATGGTAATGCTTCGGAGGCTGAGGCCTTTTGCTCGGAGCTTAGGGCCACGATTGATAACGGGCACGCTGGGTCATTGCCGGGTTTGCTTGTAACTGCTAAGGGGCAGCATAAACTTCATTTTAAAAAGTGGCAACAAGAGAAAAATGCCTCCTATGCCAAATGGCTCCGGCAAGCCTCCTTGAAGGGTATGCGACCCTTGTTCAAAAGTGTTAAGTCTGAAGAGGTCATCACCATTCGCCCCTTTCTTGATGCGCCCGTCCAGGAACGCATTTATCTTCGGTGGCGCCAATGGTTTGATTTGTGGTCGCACCCGGACGGGGTCGATCCGGCTTTGTTGGCATCTCTCAAGGCGGCAGCCATTGAGCAAGCGGGCAGACTGCCCCCGATTTCTTTGGATCGGGCGGTTTCTTTCTTTAAGAAGGTTCCTTGTAAGGCGCCAGGTTTAGACGGTTGGACGTGCGAAGTTCTGCTTCACTTGAGTGCTGAGGCAGTGCAAGCCATTCTTGATTTTTTCCATCACTGTGAGAGGCAAGCTGCGTGGCCGGATCAGCTGGTTTTCGCGCTTATTGCGTTACTTCCCAAATCTGAAAAACGTGAGCGTCCCATTGCACTTCTGCACATTTTATATCGTGCTTGGGTAAAATTGAGATGGCAACTTGTTGCTGATTGGCAGGCTGCCTATGCTAGGCAGGCTCAATGGGACAAGGCCGTCCCGGGGGGCCAGGTCCTTGATGTGGCCCTTGCCAGGTTGATGTTGGGGGAAACGGTGCGACGCAGCAAGCATCACTTGATAACCCTGTTTCTTGACATGGAGACCTTTTATGATCGGTGCTTGTTTAATGACGTCATCAACTCCGGTCTTTCCCTTCAATACCCCCCTTTGATCCTTCACCAAGCCCTGCTCACTTAAATGGGGCCTCGTTTCGTTCAGTCTGAGGGCTCCCTGTGCCCGCCTATATGGCCGGGCAGGGGAGTCCTGGCAGGATGCCCGGCGGCACCTTCGGTGTCAAAACTTGTCATCCACCCAGTTGCTGCGAAACTGGCCTCTAAGAAAACTGCTTGCAACCTTGACGTTTGGATTGATGATCTTTCCTTGGATTCGATTAATAAGTCCCCGCTTCATGTCGCCAGTGATTGTCTTAAGTTGTTTAGAGGGCTTCGGCAGGACTTGGAGTCTAAGGGTGCCCAGGTTTCAATCTCCAAGACTTGTTTTGTGGCTTCGTCCAAGGAGGCGGCTAAGGCTCTTGAGAGGCTTCGGGGATCAACAGACCCGAAGGTTAAGCCGCTGAACAGGGACCTCGGGATAACCTCAGCAGGAGGTCGCAGGCGAGTGCTGGGTTTGGCGGAGCATCGGCGGAAGAAGGCGGCAGGGCGTTCGCGGAAGTTAAATAAGCTTGCCGTTCCGGGTCGGGCACACAGAATTCGGATCGTTCGCGCATCTTTGTGCTCGGCGGGGCTTTGGGGGCACCAGGCCCAAGGAGTGAGCCCGAAGCGGAGGAAGTTTTACCGCACTTTAGTTGCCAAACACCTTGGTCGCCATAAGTTAGGTTGTCTTGATCTTACATTTCTTGTTCACCGGCGTCGATGTGAGGACCCCCATTTAACCTTGCTGAGGCAACATGTCCGTTCCGTTGCGAGGGTCTTCCGCAGATGGCAGGGTGTAGATCCAGACAAGTTTCGTTCGACATGGGCCAGCATTTGGCTGTGGCTTGTTGCGGCACAGCACCCGTGGAAGCGGGTCAATGGTCCGCTCGCGGCCTTAATGGCCTATCTTGGTGAACTCGGTGTTCAGGCGCCCCAAGCTCATCACTGGCATAAGGGCGACAGCCACCTAACGATCGATTGGTCCAGCCTGGATGCCACTCGTCGTGTGTGGCAGTGGCTCCTGCCCCTGTGGGAAGAGGCTCGCTTGCAGCGGGTGGCCAAACTGGAGGGGTGCCATGCGCTGGACTTGGGGGTTGATTTTGCGGTTCAGGACCGCCTCCAAAAGCGAAAGTTTTTCAACAAAAACATGGCCGTTAACCTGCAAGCGTTGTGGCAAGGTGCTTTGTTGAGCAGGTCCAAGCCGGGGTGGTGCACAGCTTGCAATTGCCCACTTGATTTGCAACACGTCTTGTGGGACTGTCCCTTCATCTCTGATAAATTTCCTTTGCCTCCGCATCTCCGTGAAGCCCGCGCAAAGTTCCCTTGGCCGAGTCTCTGGCTCAGAGGATTGGTTCCCAAGGACGTTACCAGGTTGGGTGTGTTACGGAACTCCTCTGGTTGTGTTGTGGACGGGTTGTGGCAAAATCGACATGTCCTCAACAGCGACTCCTTGGTTTTTGCTTCGGATGCTTCAGGGGGCCCTGGAGCCAGGGATCATAGATCGGCCTGTGTGGCATGGGCCTGCGCGGCCTACAAGCTCGAGCCCGATGGCCCCAAACGTGTGGCAAGCATCACTTGTTTCCCGGAGCAGCCCTTGACAGTTGCCAGTGCGGAGCAGCAAGCCGCCTATGAGCTTTTCAGTAGGGTTTCGGGTTCCTTCGATTTGACGGTGGACTGCAAGGCGGTCACGCAGGTTGTAGCCAGGCCGTCGCCGCCACTTGATGGCCCGGTTCCTTGGGGTTTAGTTTGGCCTGACCGGTCTAGGGCTAACATCACCTGGGTTCCCAGCCACAAGGATGCTTCTTATTTTGCCGAACGAGGCATCCCGGAGTGGCGCCGTCTTATCAATGCTGATGTAGATGAGCTTTGTGGTTCGAGGGCAGCTAGGGTTTATGCTGACGCGAGCAAGCCTGACTTAGAGGCCATTGATAGGCTTTGTGAAGACGTTTGTTTACATTTGGCTCGGAAAATTGGGTACATCCTTCAGCGAAAAAAGGACAAGTCTTTCCCGTGGTTGCTGGAGCGAAGCAGTCTTGAATCACAAAGAGGGGTTTCCTCTCAGGTCATTCCGGGGGACAAGTTTGTGAAGCCAATATCGGGGCCAAAAGTTTGCAAACCCAATAAAAGGCAGCGTCTCAAAGACATGCTTGCAAACCCCGATCCTGCTTTGGGCCATGTTTGGCGGGACTGCGAGTCCAAAGCCGTGAACAATTTCGCGATTCAGTGCACGGTTTGCAAGCTTTACGTGGAGCAATGCAATGCTCAGGATGTCTTTAATCGCAAGGCGTCCAACCCTTGTCAGGGCATCGTGGGCACAGTGCCGCCGATTTGGCAGGTGCATGAAACTCATGACATGCTTAATAAGGGATCCTTCTATACTTGCACCAAGTGTTTGGCCATTGTCAAGGTTGCTTCGACTTCGGCTTCGTCATTGCTTCAGGCCCCTTGTAAAGGTCTCGGTCGTAAGATCAATTCGGGAACTCAATTGAAGTCGATGGCCAATGTAGAGAGCGCAAAAAATCATTCTATTGAAACTGCGATGCAGGGTCTTGATCGTCGTTCCCAGGAGATTGCCAATGACACAACGGCCACGACTCACGTGATTCATCATGTGCCGAAAGCTCCAGCCAAACCAAAGGGGAAGCCCAAGGCCAAAAGCAAGGATTCTTTCCGGCAGACCCGCCTGTCCTTCAATTAAGTTTAGGTGGTTCGCCTTGGGATTGGCTTGGGGGTTGTTGTTGGTTTGGGGCTTTGGTAAATGTGCCTATTCCCATCGGCCGGTGGATGTAGGCTGCGCCCGAAAACTTCTTTGTCCCCAAAGTGCCCTTTCCAGAAACGCCCTGAAAGTGGCACAAGACGGAACTCCAACCGTAGGTTGACCTCTTCCCTCAGCCCCGTTTTGTTAGTGAGCATTTTGCCCGATTGCCTTGATTTGGAATCGGATGGGAATCTCTCGTTGTCTTTACTAATCTCATTGTTTGCGGAGAAACCCGAAGGAATAAGTAGGAGATCTCGAGCCTCGATTGTGGACTTGTGGCCGAAGTGCTGGAAGTGGCCCAGGTTGGGGGTTTCGAGCCCGAAACCTGGACTTGGGCCAGAAGAGGGCTCGCGGGCCAGCCCACCCACTTGCATCCCCAACCTGCGCCCTAACCCTGCGCCCCAGCCCCACACCTTTTGTGTCCCCAACCTGCGTCCAGCCCCACCCATCTGCGTCCCCAACCTGCGCCCCGTTTGCCTCCGAATGCCCCACATCTGCGCGCACCTTGCGCCGCGGCTCCCACCCCGGCCGACTCTTGCAGAGCGCCCTGGTAAAGGATAGGTTTCGACTTACGCTGGTGTGCGCTTGTTTGGCTGCGCTCGCATAGTCCTTTGCTTTTCGGGTGTGGGTAGGTAGAGGTTTGGGTGTAATAACTTCCCACTTGCCGGTGTGCGCTTGTATGCTTGCACCCGAAAAGTTTCCGGGTTTACTGGCAGTGGCCCTGCCTGGCAGCTTGCAGTCCTCCAGCTTCGGCCTTTCCTGGCAGCTTGCAGTCCTTGAGTTTCGGACATCATTTGGACATCATTTCATGCAGAGCTTGGAGAATGTGGCCTTGCCTGGCAGCTTGCTGTCCTTGGGCTTCGTTTTCGATTTCAACCAGAGCTAGGAGAATGGGGCCTTGACTGGCAGCTTGCAGTCCTTGAGCTTCGGATTCGCTTTTAACCAGAGATTGGAGAATGTGGCCGTGCCTGGCCGCTTGCATTCCTGGAGCGTTGGATAGTGTTTCAACCAGAGCTTGGAAAATGTGGTTTTGCCAGGCGGGTGCAGTCTTTGAGGTTCGGACACTGCTTCATACAGAGCTGGGAGATTGTGACCTTGCCTGGCAGCTTGCACTCCTTGAGCTTCGGGGCATGTTTGTGTCATAGTTTGGAGAATGTGGCTTTGCCTGGCAGCTTGCAGTCCTCGAGCTTAGAAGTGTGTTCCAGCCAGAGCCTGGAGAACGTGGCTTTGCCTGGCAGCTTGCAGTCCTTGAGCTTCGGGCTTCGGATACGATTCAACGGGAGCTTTGAGAACGTGGCGTTGCCTGGCAGCTGCCAGTCCTTGAGCTTCGGGCATTGCTTCAACCAGAGCTTGGAGAATGTGGCCTTTCCTGGCAGCTTGCAGTCCTTGAGTTTCGGACATCATTTGGACATCATTTCATGCAGAGCTTGGAGAATGTGGCCTTGCCTGGTAGCTTGCTGTCCTTGAGCTTCGTTTTCGATTTCAACCAGAGCTAGGAGAATGGGGCCTTGACTGGCAGCTTGCAGTCCTTGAGCTTCGGATTCGCTTTTAACCAGAGATTGTAGAATGTGGCCGTGCCTGGCCGCTTGCGTTCCTTGAGCGTTGGATAGTGTTTCAACCAGAGCTTGGAAAATGTGGTTTTGCCAGGCGGGTTGCAGTCTTTGAGTCATACAGAGCTGGGAGATTGTGACCTTGCCTGGCAGCTTGCACTCCTTGATTGAGACAGGCGTGCGTGTAAGAAGCATAAGCACTTTCAGGTGCCGGGCATGCGGTTGGGAGCTGGGCCAGGCATGGGGCGGGAGTTGGGTCCAAGGGCGGGTCGGGTTTGTTTAAAATTGCGGCGGAGACCGGGTTTTTTTTGGGTGCAGAGAGGCCGCCAAAAAGGCGTTGGGCTGGTGCAAAAATGAAGTCCAAACTGGCCTTGACACAGCATCGAATTGAGTCCCTCTGCAACAATGAGTCGTGCACATGGTCTAGCCGCAGTCTAGCCTAAACTGGAGCAAGACTGCAACGCCGCATCCGTAATATTTTTCCTTGTCGGCCGCTGCAGCAGGCAGGTTGGCGTGGGGCAGTGCTGTTCATTCCGAATTGTGCAGCGGAAGTTGTCCTTCCACTGGGAAACATGCTATGCTGGGCTAGGCGGCCAGGCGCTTCCTGATCTATGAGTAACTCGGGAGGGTGTAGCGACTGGAACCTTGATGTTCGTGGCCTGAATTCTTTGGTTGGGGCACAAACGCAAACAGCAAGCAGCCCAGCCGCAGCCTAGCAGTCCCACGATGAGTCAGACTCGAAATCCTCCTCGCGCATCAGTGCCAGGGGCTGCCCCGGAGCTGGCAAATGGCGCCGGAACTGCTGGTGACACTCTTGCAAGTTGCCATGAAGCAGAACCTGAACATGAGTTGACTTGAGTACTATACTACACAGTACTACGGACTACGACTGCGAGAAAAAATCAAACAACAAACAAACAAACTGCAAACTGACAAAGCAGCCTACTCTCTGTCTATTGTCTATAGTCTTGTCTAAGACCGTAAGACCTTGCACCCTGGACCTGCCTGGATCCGCCGCCTAAAGTAAACCGAAGAAGTACTCTTCGCTACCGTCACTCGTACTACTCTTTAGACTCTTTACGAAGCCAGGGTGCTGCCAGCATGCAAGCTCCCACCACGGGAACTCCCATCGTGTTGCCTCAGGGCCCAGGGCAGCCAGATGATATTTCGTGACTTCGGGCATGGCACTTAGCACCTCGGGGCCCGGCAGAGTTTAGAAATCAGTGTAAATTGTAATTGAAATTTGCGATTGGAACTGAGTCCTGAATCATCATT